AAAACATAAGTCCGTCCCTCGTTAAGCACGAGCGTGAAGGCACGTGTCCTCATAATCACAGAGAGAGAAAAACGAGAGAGCAGTGGCACACACTGGTTGACACCATCAACCCTCGACTTGGGTGTCTTAAAGGGACACCACACCATAGTGGCTGTTACATATTCCCCCCGGGTTAAACAAAGGCTGTCCCCAGCCGAACACAGCAAAGGTACAGTTCAAACTTAACCAGCCTCCATACATGGTCAGCAGGATAAGACGTTAAAACCAAAATAGGGGAATGTACAGTCCAAAATTGACAAACTGGCATACATGACAGTGTCCCCAATGGTGAATGCCCATTCAAATAAATGTCAACGAAAGAAAATAAACTTAGGATAGCCAGGACAATGACAGAATGAAATTCCCTCTTATTGGTACATTGCGTTTCCACCGTTTTCCCAAAAATTGCAACAGTAAGCATGAACATATCACCACAACATGAAAACAGTGCCAACATGAATCGTAGAAAACTCAAACAACGGTCCTGTGACAACAGTAGACCACATGAAACACATCAGAAAGCAAACAAGGTCACTTTATGTTAAATCTGTCAGTATGAAAAGGGTTGGTCCACCTATTGACCGACCAGTCAGCGGTGACCCTAGGAACTCGTCTTGGTCTGAGGTCATAAGAACCTCTAACAGCACACCCATCAGCAGCAGGAGGTGAACTGTTAACCTCTGTCTCCAGAGCAACATCAGCAGTCTCTTGGAAAGAGTTCTGGTCCATGACAAGCGGGGCAGCGTCAGCACAGTCAACGTCAGTCTCAGCAGGGGCGTTGCTAAAGACCGCGGGAGTTGCATCAACCGCGTCACAGTCAATGCGGCCCGGGACTGAAAGAGCAGGAGGCAAACTGCTGTCCGGGACACTGAGATCCAAAGCTGCTGTAGCATTTAGCTTCCCACGCTGGCTAGACAAAGCTGAGTCCCAGGTATGGAATGGTTGCATGTTCGCAACATGAAAAACTCCCACTCTCTCCCCAGTGTCCACTGTGGTGAGAGAGTAATTCACATCCGACATCCTCTTGGAGATGCGGTAGGGACCCGTGTAAAGCGGGGCCAACTTAGCAGAGAAGTTGGACGATGCATCTGATTTTGGGTGTGACTTTACCCTGACGAGGTCCCCAACTTCATAAGAATCCGTGCGACGTCTCAGATCATAGTAGCGCTTTTGCCTTTCATGACTCTCTCCGAGCACCAAGCGAGCATGTTCATGAGCATCCCGAAGCGAAGCTCTCAGGTCATCTGAGTGGGACGTTTCCGGGCCGCTCAGTCCCTCCCAGGAGGGTTGAGTGACAAGGTCCAAGGGCGTGTCCAACTCTCGCCCATACAGCATCATGGACGGGCTCAGGCCTGTGCTCTCGTGAGGCGCAGTGCGCAGTGCAAAACAGATCTGGGGAAGATACTTGTCCCAAGAGGTGTGTTTATCCCCAACATAGGCTCGAATGGCCGTTTTCAAAGTGCGATTTACACGCTCAGTTGCATTCGTTTGAGGATGGTATGCAGTTGTTAGT